CATTTTTAAGAAAATGTTTCAAACAAAAGTTGTTCAGGGTTCAAAAAATCTATTTATATAACTATGTATTTTCTTTAGACCAATTGATTCACTTCATTATTTATGGCGACATTTCTTTATATATGTAATGAAATGTCGCCATGAATATTTTTTTAATATTTAATTATTTTATAATTACCACATTTCTTATAATCTATTAATGTTTCAAGCATATAATAATTATGTGTTTAAAAGTTTATTATTTTACATTAATATATTCAGTATATAATTGCTTGTTTAAAATATGATTTTTAAGTATAATATAATATAATATAATAATAAAAAAATTTTATCTATTGTTTTAAACAAATAATTATACAGTAAATTAGTATACATTTATAATATTAAAAATACAGTTATACTTATTGGTATTAAATTAAAGAATTTAATTTATTCATTAAAAATTTTTTATTTTTTTTAATTTTAACAACAAAAAATATAATTTTTTCTTGAATTTATAATAGCTAATAACCAAATAATAATGGTACAACAGTATTTAAATTCTTACAGTATTTAAATTATTAGTAATTAATTTTTTCTTTAATCTTTTCTATTAATATAAAGTCTAATATATCATTACATATTCCCTAATGAAAAATAAAAATATAAACAATATTTAAATACAATTTATTTATATATTAAGTTTTCTAAAGGGTAATTTTATCTTGTTGAAAATTTTGTATCATTTAGTAATTTCTATTATTTTTGCTTTAATTAATGATATGAAATAAAAAATTTGCCATGTTATTTACCAAACAACTATTAGAAATCTCTCGAGCATGCTGGAGTTATAAAAATATCCCGATAGCCAAATCTGAAAAGACAGATTATGCGCAAAATTTGTTATAAATTTTTGATGCTAGAAAACCAACAGATTACTAACAGATTCTGTAATATCTAACAATGCTAGCAAACTGCTGTCAGAAATCTGACAGAATATCTGTTGACATTCTGTGCCGCAGATTGGCAGCAGAAATCGAGCAAATCCTGCTGCAATCTGCCGTCAGATTGACGACAGAAAGCGAGCAGGACCTGCGCAACATAATTTGATGGCAGGATTTGCTCGATTTCTGCTGCCAGTTTGCTGACACAGAATGTCATGTCAGGTTCTGTCAACAGAATGTAAGCAGAATGAGACCTCAGATGAAGTCAGTCTGCTAACATTTTCTGATTAAAATTGCCAGTTTGTCGACATTCTGCCAATATTTTATTGACTGGGTAAAAACAAATTTCAAAAAATTTTTTTATTTCAACCAATTTTAATTAAATAAGTCATAACAAAAAGAAGTAGTAGATATCTTAAATATAATCGTACATTCTAAATATATTGTTATACAATAATAATTTATACATTCTCTGTGTACAAGACATTTAGTTGAATCTCAGATATTAGTTCGCATTTATTGCAATATAGTAATTATTACTAATCAATATTTGCCGTGTGCATATGGTAAATATCATAATGCTGGCAGAAGTATATTATTAATGCCATTGATTGTCTGTTGTTTAAGATTTCTTTATATTTTCTTTCGAACACGCATTATACAGGTTACCTCCAAATTCTTATCTTTTAAATAAAACTGATTAATGTTAAGCCAATTTTCTTCAAAGGGAAAGATCATCTTAAACATTATGTTTTTCATAATTTATCACTATTTAATCTTAATTAATATTTAGCTTAAGATATCGTTTCTCCATAAAATTTTTTTCGTCTAAATTTTTATTAAAGAATAAGGATTTACTATATATTGTATTACAAATCAACTTGATGAGGAGGAAAATATTTGTTGACAATCCATTATATGCAATATTTTTGTTAAAAATAATAAAAAATTTGGAAATGCTTTGTGTATAGGAACGCGAAAATCTTAGTCGTTAAGAAAAAAACTGACAAACATCTTTTATTTTGACTAAGATATTTTATTTACATTATTGTAAATATAATGTTAGTGATAGAATCTGCTAAAAAATTCGCTCATTATTCTTCTTTGCAAATCCTAGTAGCTTGCCATTTAATGCCAATATTTTGCAATTTATTATATTATAATACACTTTCTTTCTCTTTTGCAAAAGAATTCGTGTTTTTATTACAATTGCAAAAAGTATTTTTCATAATACTTCTCAAAACAACATAAGAATCAATGCTGTGTACTTTCTTAATCTTAAAGCAGTTATTTTCTTCTAACGTTAAAAAGAATAAAGATAACAAGAAAAAAGGGAAAATAAAAATTAATAATTAACA